CTACATTTGAAACTGTGTATGGAGTCAGCCTCCACCACATCACTGCCTAATGCATTCCATCTGTTAACTACTCTGACACTGAAAAGTTCCTTGTAACGTCTCTGTGGCTCATGTGGGTACTCAGTTTCCACCTGTGTCCCCTTGTTCGCATTCCACCAGTGTTGAATAGTTTATCCTTGTTTACCCGGTCGATTCCCCTGAGGATTTTGTAGGTTGTGATCATGTCTCCCCTTACTCTTCTGTCTTCCAGTGTCGTAAGGTGCATTTCCCGCAGTCTTTCCCCGTAACTCATGCTGTGTGTGTGTGTGTGTGTATGTGTGTGTGTGTGTGTGTGTGTGTGTGTGTGTGTGTGTGTGTGTGTGTGTGTGTGTGTGTGTGTGTGTGTGTGTGTGTGTGTGTGTGTGTGTGTGTGTGTGTGTGTGTGTGTGTGTGTGTGTGTGTGTGTGTGTGTGTGTGTGTGTAAAAAAAAAAAATGTTAGTAACAGTTGAGAGGCAGGCCGAAAGAACTAAGCTCAACCCCCGCAAGCACAACTAGGTGAATGCAATTAGGTGAATACATATTCCCATGAAGCAGCCCGTAGCATTTGTAACTCTCAGAAACTTATTTACTGCTAAGTGAACAGTACATCAGATGAAAGAAAATGCCCATTTTGTTTGCCCTGTGCATGGCATCTGCCGGGTCGTTTCTCCGGTGTCTCAGGGCTCTGAGTTGTGCATTCAGATCTCCCAGTAAATAATGAGGTCTGGTCTTTCTGGCGGGGAAGGTAAGGTCGTCTTGGTGATTGTTGTCACAATTCAATGAAGAGTGTTCCTTTAGTCGTTTAATGTTCCATTGCCAAAACGATTTCTTTGAAGTTATGAAAGAATTTGTGTGGCAGGTCTCGCCTAACTGCTGTTACTGCTCCGTCGTTGACCTGGTCAGTTCTGCTGACCTGGCAAGTTATGTAGTTGTGCATCTTTATTTGCTCTCTTTTTTTCCTTTGCTGTAAAGTAAGTATTATGTCAGGGTCAGTGACCCCTAAGCTGCTCTGTAGGGAGTCGAAATTAGTACATTGTGTTGCTTTATTTTGAGCGACTCGATGACACTGGTAAACTCTTAGGTTAGTTCCCAGCTCGTCCTCATAAACCACATTGTGAAAGAAAAACAATGTCTCTTAAGTCTCTAGTTTGCATAATGAGTTCCTCATCCACCTCCTTTAGGATCTTAAGTGCACATTGACCCCAGGCGCCCAGGGTCTGAGAGCCTATCGGCACGAACTTGTAACAAAGTTCTAGGCCTCTCTACTTATTAGTTTTCTGAGTCTCCCTGAAGATGGCTACCCCGCCTCCCTCAGCTTTACTGTGAGGTAGATAGGTATCAGTCAATGTAGACGAACACGTGTAATTCCATACGACCTGTCTACCTTCCCTCCACGGCTGCAGGGTGACTCCATCTGGGCGTTTTTTGCTGTTGTCAGGTCTGCACAACTGAGGTTCTCTTTATGCTGGACACCCAGCTGTAGCCAAACTTCTCTTGATGATGTCATTGACTGCTTCGTGTCTGGCAATCTTTCCTTGTGTCTTACGACAGATAAGACCGTGGCTGCCGTATTGGTCTGCCGACGCATAGCCGCAGATACACCGGTATCCCTATCTCCTCCATTCGGTGGAGATAGTGCACCTTGCCCTGTTGGGGCAAGGCGCAAGGCAACACCAGTACTTAGGGCCCGATGGTCCAGGCGGGTGCCCAAGGCGGAATTGGGGACTGCCAACAGGAAGTCCCCGGCATGGGAAGCTTGCACATGGATTGCTAGGAGGCGTGCTTTGTTCTTTATATATATGTATACCTAGTTGTACCTAGTAGCCAGAACGCAGTTCTTGGCCAACTAAGCAAGGCCTGATTTGCCTAATAAGCCAAGTATTCCAGAATTTCAATTTTTTTCTATTTTTTTCCTATGAAATGATAAAGCTATCATTTCATTATGTATGAGTTAATTTTTTTCAAATTAAGTTATAACTAACGGAAATATATGACCGAAACCAACCTACTTTACCTAACCTAACCTATCTTAACCTAACCTAAACTAACATAACTAAATCAATAATTTATATATATATATATATATAAACTATGTATATATGTATAAACTATATATATACTATATATATAAACTATATATAAACTATATATATAAACTATGTATAAACTATATATATATATATATATATATATATATATATATATATATATATATATATATATATATATATATATATATATATATATATATATATATATATATATATATATATATATATATATATATATATATATATATATATATATATAATATCGCTATGAAATCATAATGGCGTGATATATCAATGAACATCATTTTGAGGCAATGTTGGGACTTAACCCGCGACCCGGTGACTCCCAGATTTAACCGACTGGGACATAACAGTCTCGAGCCTTAACCGACTCGGCCATAGTTTTACATGACTATAAAAACATGGTTGGGCTCCTGTTCGGGGCCTCCAGATCCTTCAAGTGAATTCAGTAGAGTTCTCGGTTGTCGATTTTTGTACCATCGTGGCCTAGTCGGTTTAGACAGGAGTCTGGGAATCACCAGAACGCGAGTTCAAATTCCTCCATTGCCTTATATTGGTTTTCATATATGTGTACATGTACACAAATACATATACACATTAATAGATTAAAGACCATTAGAAAAACATAATAATCAAGGTAACTGCCTCGTATGGGCCTATTCGCCCATACGAGGCAGCTTCTTTTTATATCCAACCAAACTCACTCATATATATGTCTAACCTACGCGTGAAACAATCAAGGGATCCTATTTCTAATATATATATATTATTTATATAAAAAAAAGATCTACAGACTTTCTATATCAAGTGATTCAGGAAGAGGCTGATCAAGCAGTCTCCTGTGAGGCGAAATCACGGCAGGAATTGTGAGTGGGGTGTAATGGGTGGAGTGTAGTGGGTGGGGTGTAGTGGGTGGAGTGTAGTGGGTGGGTGTAGTGGGTGGAGTGTAGTGGGTGGGTGTAGTGGGTGGAGTGTAGTGGGTGGGTGTAGTGGGTGGAGTGTAGTGGGTGGGTGTAGTGGGTGGAGTGTAGTGGTGGAGTGTAATGGGTGGAGTGTAGTGGGTGGAGTATAGTGGTGAAGTGTAGTGGGTGGAGTGTAGTTGGTGGGATGTAGTGGGTGGGGTGTAGTCGGTGGAGTGTAGTGGGTGGGGTGTAGTCGGTGGAGTGTAGTGGGTGGGGTGTAGTGGGTAGAGTATAGTGGTGGAGTGTAGTGGGTGGAGTGTAATGGGTGGAGTGTAGTGGGTGGAGTGTAGTGGGTGGAGTATAGTGGTGGAGTGTAGTTGGTGGAGTGTAGTGGTGGAGTGTAGTTGGTGGAGTGTAGTGGGTGGAGTGGAGTGTAATGGGTGGAGTATAGTGGTGGAGTGTAGTTGGTGGAGTGTAGTGGTGGAGTGTAGTTGGTGGAGTGTAGTGGGTGGAGTGGAGTGTAATGGGTGGAGTATAGTGGTGGAGTGTAGTTGGTGGAGTGTAGTGGGTGGAGTGTAATGGTGGAGTGTAGTGGGTGGAGTGAAGTGGGTGGAGTGTAGTATTTAGTGGGATGGGTGGAGGTGACGCAAGTACTGGGTGGAGAGGATGGGGAAGGGTTGAGAGCCTCCTCCACCTACGGCTGCCACGTGACATTTAGGGTGAGTATTGTGTGCCCCGAGAGGCGCCCGTGTCCCCGTGGATGACCTAGATGCCGTGAGTGTTTGTAGATGATGATTGTTATGGAGAGAGAGAGAAATATGTGATATGAATCTAGGCAACAAGCGTACAACGGTAAAGTTCAATGAAATTGTGAATATATGAATAAGTCACATATGAATCTTTTCTTTTACATCAGTTAACTTGAGATAGGCCTACCTTGACTCATTGATAGGGTTCCGAGGTCAATGTCCTCGCCACCCGGTTTATAAACAGTCCTGGTTATCGGATCTAGCCAACCAGGCTGTTAGACTTCGCGGATCGCAGTCCTAGGAATTACAGTTTCGTTGACCTAGTTGGTATATAATTCATAAAAAATATTTCGTATTTACACTCATGATAGGAAATGTTTTGAAAAGGAGAGTTTGTAACTACAACCTCCCTACTCTACAGGGTCGCCTCCGACCTGTTGGGTTCGTTTAGCATCTGCCCTTAATAATGGCCACGGCCCTGACTCTCGTAAGTGACCCCCTGCAGGGTGCTAGGATTCATCAAGCCCTTAAGAGTCCACTTACAAGATCTGAATATCTTTCCTCAATCATAGTGTCTTAGATTACGTTCATTATAAACTTTATGACCTCCGAAGCGCTGCGAGGTTGCCCATTCACTAATATCCTCTGGTTGTGAAGTCCCAAGCTCGCAAATTGTTTAGTAAATACAGGCTTAGCCTTCATGATCGTCGTGAGATGTACAGGTTCCGTAAATGCAGACGTAAACGCTGGATGAATAGTTGCTTGCTTTCATAAATGTCTCTCCCTCGTAAGAGAATCTTGCAAGTTACTCTTGGTTCATAAATGGCAGCAATATGTAAATAGTCCAGATGAATAGTATCCAAGTAGGTGCTAATTAACGGACTTAACTAGTAGCCAAGTCCAGAAAAGTTCCTAGGGTGTGACAGTCTTTGCCAGGGTCCTAAATGAATGTATGGATGAGTTAAGGGATCTCTGACTTTCTTATTTAATAAATCATTACAGTCGAACAAAGTACACGAATCATTGAGCTTAAAGTATTATGTCACGCCTAATGAATGGGAAATAAATTACTAGCATCGAACAATCGGTCAAATTGCTTAACATTTATTGTAGTGAAATTGCTTGAACCAATAATCTCAAAAAGCCATTCATTCACTTCCTGAAAAACATAGATTAATAAAAATATTTGCATCATGGCTTTATAAAATGCCACACATGTTTAACAAATTTGCTCTCATTCTTTTCCATCATATTTCAGGTGGTTGATAGTGTAAAGGATTGTAACGTTATGTACCTCGACCTCAGCAAGGTTTTTGGTAAAGTGTCTGACGAAAGACTAATAAGAAAGTTGGGTAATGTTATCGTTATCTCGAATCAAACAGTTAGTACAAATGGCGTTGTTTGTGAGGAAAACCGTTGTCAGAGAAGTGGTGATGTAGGACTATCCTGGGACCTCTGTTGTTTATCATATAAGTAAACGCTTTATAAGCAAGGTTTTACAGCCACCTTTGCATATTTGCAGACGATAAAAATATATAGTTTGGGAAATATATTCAAATGAAAACTCAAAATCGATTTAAGACTCTGTAGATAGACTTTTACAGTGGGCAAAAGATTATCGGGTTCAGTTTAATGCTGTAAAAATAGGTTTCTGTGGATAGGTAATGATGATAGAGTTATCAGATGGATGGTGTTGAAATTAAAAAATCTGAGTAAGAAAATACGTAGAAGTCATGATAAGTCGGAAGATAAAGCCTATCATTACTAAAGAAATGCTCCGAATAACGCAAATTGAATACTTGGAATTATATCTTAAGGCGTTAGCAGCAGGACCAAATACAGTTTGATCGCCGTACATGAAAGGACATAAATTAATTTGAACGAGTACAAAGCAGCAAGACAAAAGTAACCTTACGAGGTAGAAGCCGTCCAAACAGGTGAGATTAACAAAGCTTAAATTGGAGTTTCTAGAGAGGCGGAGATTTATTTGATATGTGGAACAATATTAAGAAATGAATGACGGTTCTCACTGAACTGCAGCTCTCAGTCACTAAGAAGCTTCCCCCTTGCAAGTTACTGAAGAGACTGGTCCAATGCAGGCTCGTACTGAAGAGACTGGTCCAACGCAGGCTCGTACTGAAGAGACTGGTCCAATGCAGGCTCGTACTGAAGAGACTGGTCCAACGCAGGCTCGTACTGAAGAGACTGGTCCAACGCAGACTCGTACTGAAGAGACTTGTCCAACGCAGACTCGTACTGAAGAGACTGGTCCAACGCAGGCTCCTACTGAAGAGACTGGTCCAACGCAGACTCGTATTGAAGAGACTGGTCCAACGCAGACTAAAACTGAAGAGACTGGTCCAAAGCAGACTCCTACTGAAGAGACTGGCCCAACGCAGACTCGTATTGAAGAGACTGATCCAACGCAGACTCGTACTGAAGAGACTGGTCCAACGCAGGCTCGTATTGAAGAGACTGGTCCAATGCAGGCTCGTACTGAAGAGACTGGTCCAATGCAGGCTCGTATTGAAGAGACTGGTCCAACGCAGACTCGTATTGAAGAGACTGGTCCAACGCAGACTCGTACTGAAGAGACTGGTCCAACGCAGGCTCGTATTGAAGAGACTGGTCCAATGCAGGCTCGTACTGAAGAGACTGGTCCAACGCAGGCTCGTACTGAAGAGACTGGTCCAACGCAGGCTCGTATTGAAGAGACTGGTCCAACGCAGGCTCGTACTGAAGAGACTGGTCCAACGCAGGCTCGTACTGAAGAGACTGGTCCAATGCAGGCTCGTACTGAAGAGACTGGTCCAATGCAGGCTCGTATTGAAGAGACTGGTCCAACGCAGACTCGTACTGAAGAGACTGGTCCAACGCAGGCTCGTATTGAAGAGACTGGTCCAATGCAGGCTCGTACTGAAGAGACTGGTCCAACGCAGGCTCGTACTGAAGAGACTGGTCCAACGCAGGCTCGTATTGAAGAGACTGGTCAAACGCAGGCTCGTACTGAAGAGACTGGTCCAATGCAGGCTCGTATTGAAGAGACTGGTCCAACGCAGACTCGTATTGAAGAGACTGGTCCAACGCAGACTCGTACTGAAGAGACTGGTCCAACGCAGGCTCGTATTGAAGAGACTGGTCCAATGCAGGCTCGTACTGAAGAGACTGGTCCAACGCAGGCTCGTACTGAAGAGACTGGTCCAACGCAGGCTCGTATTGAAGAGACTGGTCCAACGCAGGCTCGTACTGAAGAGACTGGTCCAATGCAGGCTCGTATTGAAGAGACTGGTCCAACGCAGGCTCGTACTGAAGAGACTGGTCCAATGCAGGCTCGTATTGAAGAGACTGGTCCAACGCAGGCTCGTACTGAAGAGACTGGTCCAATGCAGGCTCGTATTGAAGAGACTGGTCCAACGCAGGCTCGTACTGAAGAGACTGGTCCAATGCAGGCTCGTATTGAAGAGACTGGTCCAACGCAGGCTCGTACTGAAGAGACTGGTCCAATGCAGGCTCGTACTGAAGAGACTGGTCCAATGCAGGCTCGTACTGAAGAGACTGGTCCAATGCAGGCTCGTACTGAAGAGACTGGTCCAATGCAGGCTCGTACTGAAGAGACTGGTCCAATGCAGGCTCGTATCACACTCAGAACAGTTCAAATCCGTCTCAGAACCCGTGTAAGGACTTGGCAAGTAACCTTCTGATTGACAACCTTCTTAATTCCACTTAATTCCACCACATGTTTACATAAATTCAGTAAGAGTGTGATATTCCCTCATTTTCATAGGTTTTCGACTCTGTCTCCCACGCCAAAAATAAAAATCATACTCAAGTTAGATTAAAACGTAACAGGTATATAAGGGCTTGGGCTCACTCCCTCGCAGACAGTGATAGCTATGTATTGATAGGAAAGTCCCTCACCACACTTCACCACGCCCTTCACCACATCACAATTGACGCCGCCTAAGAACATCAAACAAGCCGACAAAGACGACATTGCCATTTCGCCCCCTTGATCACCGCCGCATGAGGGAGTGAGACAGTTACCCATTGTCCAGTTCCTCCCACCCATCACGGTCTCCGTTGTTCCTGTCCACGTCGTCTGTCCTGTCTACAGGATCCTCTCTAAGTCGCATGTGTCTGACTGCTGTCCCTGTCGCCTGTGTATCTGTCTATCGATTCCTGTCTGTATCGCAAATGTGTGTGTGTGTGTGTGTTGTGTGTGTGTGTGTGTGTGTGTGTGTGTGTGTGTGTGTGTGTGTGTGTGTGTGTGTGTGTGTGTGTGTGTGTGTGTGTGTGTGTGTGTGTGTGTGTGTGTGTGTGTTTACTAGTTGTGTTTTTGCGGGGGTTGAGCTTTGCTCTTTCGGCCCGCCTCTCAACTGTCAATCAACTGTTTACTAACTACTTTTTTTTTCCACACCACACACACACACCCCAGGAAGCAGCCCGTGACAGCTGACTAACTCCCAGGTACCTATTTACTGCTAGGTAACAGGGGCACTTAGGGTGAAAGAAACTTTGCCCATTTGTTTCTGCCTCGTGCGGGAATCGAACCCGCGCCACAGAATTACGAGTCCTGCGCGCTATCCACCAGGCTACGAGGCCCCTATGTGTGTGTGTGTGTGTGTGTGTGTGTGTGTGTGTGTGTGTGTGTGTGTGTGTGTGTGTGTGTGTGTGTGTGTGTGTGTGTGTGTGTGTGTGTGTGTGTGTGTGTGTGTGTGTGTGTGTGTGTGTGTGTGTGTGTGTGTGTGTGTGTGCGTGTGTGTGTGTGTAAATCTCTATATTGCTTTCTCCATCGCCTGTGTCTGTCTGTTTCTGTCTATGTCACAGGTATATGCTTCTGTTTGCGTCTGCTTTTTCGTCACACGTGTCTGTGTCTTGCTATCTATGTCGCAGGTCTGGTTGTGATTTTTCTGTCAGTTTTAATGTTACTGTTGCACTCTTCGGTAGCTGTATCCTGAACCAGTGCCGGGTATTGTATTCTAAACCTGTGTTTGTTAAATTATTAACCAGAACTGGTTGCTGTATTCTTAACCACCGTCGGTTGTTGTATCCTTAACCTGTGCCGGTTGTTGCATATGTAACCAGAGCTGGCTGCTCTATCTGTAACCGGAGTCGGTTACTATATCCTTAAACAGTGCCGGATGCTGTTTATATCTGTAACCAAAGCCAGTTGATCTATCCATAACCAATACCGGATGCTGTATCTGTAACTAGTATCTGTCCCGCCGTCTAGCCTTGTTGTACCTGTTGTGTTCTAGTGTACTATTCTGACTTTTGAATTTTATGTCGACTCTGTCCTTAATGTTACGGATGGAGGTGGCTTCCACAACTTCTTCCTCCGGTGCTTCCCACGTGTTGACCACCCGTACAGGGCACGAGTATTACCTTACATCTCTTCCACTCATTTATGTTTCCATGTTTTCTTATATCTTTTTCTCTCACTTTCTGTTCCCCCTCTTCCTCCCCTTCACCAGTCTACCAACTCTTCCCTCACCCACCCCCTTCCGACTCTTTATCCTGCTCTGTTCCCCTCTCCCCCATTCTCCTCATCCCCCCATCATCCACCATCCCCTCAACTTACCCTACCCACTCCCCATCTCCTTCAATATCATGAACCTATAACGCAAATTTAGCTCTTTACTCAGTCGTACCATCAGCACTCAAACCTTAATGTATCAAGAAAATCATTTGATCGGAGCAAAACGTTATAGATTTTTAGTCTCTTTGGTACAGTATCACATGGCATGGCACTCATTTCCTTGATTCAAATACTGACACCCTCCCATGATGGGCACGTACCCAAGAGCAATTATTGGGAACAAAATATATGACAGTAGGCCAAAGCGTTTGGCCTCCAATCTCGAGCTCATATACAGTTATATATATATATATATATATATATATATATATATATATATATATATATATATATATATATATATATATATATATATATATATATATATATATATATATATATATATATATGTCGTACCTAGTAGCCAGAACGCACTTCTCAGCCTACTATTCAAGGCTCGTTTTGCCTAATAAGCCAAGTTTTCATGAATTAATTGTTTTTCGACTACCTAACCTACCTAACCTAACCTAACCTAACTTTTCCGGCTACCTAACCTAACCTAACCTATAAAGATAGTTTAGGTTAGGTTAGGGAGGGTTGGTTAGGTTCGGTCATATATCTACGTTAATTTTAACTCCAATAAAAAAATTGACCTCATACATAATGAAATGGGTAGCTTTATCATTTCATAAGAAAGAAAATAGAAAAAATTTATTAATTCAGGAAAACTTGGCTTTTTAGGCAAATCGGACCTTGCATAGTAGGCCAAAAGTGAGTTCTGGCTACTAGGTACGACATATATATATATATGTCGTACCTAGTAGCCAGAATGCACTTCTCGGCCTACTATGCAAGGCCCGATTTGCCTAATAAGCCAAGTTTTCCTGAATTAATATATTTTCTCTAATTTTTTACTTATGAAATGATAAAGCTACCCATTTCATTATGTGTGAGGTCAATTTTCTTTTATTGGAGTAAAAAGTAACGTAGATATATAACCGAACCTAACCAACCCTCCCTAACCTAACCTAAACTATCTTTATAGGTTAGGTTAGGTTAGGTAGCCGGAAAAGTTAGGTTAGGTTAGGTTAGGTAGGTTAGGTAGTCGAAAAAAAACATTAATTCATGAAAACTTGGCTTATTAGGCAAATCGGGCCTTGCATAGTAGGCTGAAAAGTATGTTCTGGCTACTAGGTACGACATATATATATATATATATATATATATATATATATATATATATATATATATATATATATATATATATATATATATATATATATATATATATATATATATATATTTCATTGAATATGACCGCATATTCTGTATTTATTATTTTCTGGTTTAGGGCTTTTATCCCTCTAACTATTTTCCTAGCATCAGGGCTTAATTGAAATAGGAGTTCTCCAAAACTCATTTTCGTACTTTTAAGGTGAAGAAAAGAAGTGATTTACTATAGAGTGTATTACACTTATTTGTATAATTTGCACGACGTTTCGAACCTCCATGGTTCATTCTCAAGTGAACAGATCTTACAATACTAGTTGATTTTATACCCGCATTAGGTCAGGTGATAATACAATGAAGGTGAAAACATGGGGGGATACATAAGGGATAAACATAGGGGCTGCAGAAGGCTGCATATCGATGCCAACACAGAAGACAATGTCCAACATAACAGGCCAATTACACTGGATTAATCTTTGTGTTTGGATAGGAGATGCCTCGTATGGGCCAATAAGCCTTCTGCAGCCCCTATGTTTATCCCTTATGTATCCCCCCATGTTTTCACCTTCATTGTATTATCACCTGACCTAATGCGGGTATAAAATCAACTAGCATTGTAAGATCTGTTCACTTGAGAATGAACCATGGAGGTTCGAAACGTCGTGCAAATTATACAAATAAGTGTAATACACTCTATAGTAAATCACTTCTTTTCTTCGCCTTAAAGTACGAAAATGAGTTTTGGAGAACTCCTATTTCAATTAAGCCTTGATGCTAAGAAAATAGTTAGAGGGATAGAAGCCCTAAACCAGAAAATAATAAATACAGAATATGCGGTCATATTCAATGAAACATGTTTGAAAGAAAACCTGCTGCCAGTATACACCAATATATATATATATATATATATATATATTAGTATATTTTGGTAGCAGTCTTTCCTGTAGACATATATTATTAAATATGACCGAAAAAGTAAGATTAATAATTCTAACACGAATTTTCTCAATCTTTCGTACATTATGCTTCACTGTTGGAGGTAAATCAAAAATCACTTCTCCAAAATTCATTTTTATTTCTAGTCTGACGCGACACGGGCGCGTTTCGTAAAACTTATTACATTTTCAAAGACTTCACAAATACACAACTGATTAGAACTTGCGTTTCCCTGATTTTATATCTACATTTGAGTGAGGTGGGAAGGGTGATGTGGCATTACATTTGAGTGAGGTGGGAAGGATGATGTGGCATTAACACAAAACAGAACACTAGAGGATATTAATAGGGTATTAAAAGTATCAACACAAGACAGAACAGAAACAATGGGTATTGAATAGAAGTGTTTGTAGAAAGCCTATTGGTCCATATTTCTTGATGCTTCTATATTGGAGCGGAGTCTTGAGGTGGGTAGAATATAGTTGTGCAATAATTGGCTGTTGATTGCTGGTGTTGACTTCTTGATGTGTAGTGCCTCGCAAACGTCAAGCCGCCTGCTATCGCTGTATCTATCGATGATTTCTGTGTTGTTTACTAGGATTTCTCTGGCGATGGTTTGGTTATGGGAAGAGATTATATGTTCCTTAATGGAGCCCTGTTGTTTATGCATCGTTAAACGCCTAGAAAGAGATGTTGTTGTCTTGCCTATATACTGGGTTTTTGGAGCTTACAGTCCCCAAGTGGGCATTTGAAGGCATAGACGACGTTAGTCTCTTTTAAAGCGTTCGGTTTCGTGTCTGGAGAGTTTCTCATGAGTAGGCTGGCCGTTTTTCTGGTTTTATAGTAAATCGTCAGTTGTATCCTCTGATTTTTGTCTGTAGGGATAACGTTTCTATTAACAATATCTTTCAGGACCCTTTCCTCTGTTTTATGAGCTGTGGAAAAGAAGTTCCTGTAAAATAGTCTAATAGGGGGTATAGGTGTTGTGTTAGTTGTCTCTTCGGAGGTTGCATGGCTTTTCACTTTCCTTCTTATGATGTCTTCGATGAAACCATTGGAGAAGCCGTTATTGACTAGAACCTGCCTTACCCTACAGAGTTCTTCGTCGACTTGCTTCCATTCTGAGCTGTGGCTGAGAGCACGGTCGACGTATGCGTTAACAACACTCCTCTTGTACCTGTCAGGGCAGTCGCTGTTGGCATTTAGGCACATTCCTATGT